CAGTTACTTTTCTGACCTCAGGGACTACCAGTTAAGGCCTGAAACACCGTAAAACATGTATGTCAGACAGGCTTTCATTCCATACTACGGAGGTACAACGGAAGGACCTCATCAGAAGTAGGTCCTCCTCCTCCTTGATAACGCGGTACGCTACTGTGTCAAAACAACATCACTAACATTTGAGATTCAACACATCCATCACTCCCTGTAACCTGCTCAGCAGAATGACCTGCTTGGAAGAGCACGTTTCACTACATCTTCCAAGGAGTCAGGGCCAGAGAGAGAGATACGCACTCAAAATGGAGACTTGAAAAAATATAGCAATTAAAGATCCCATAACATTTTCATGGACTACTCCTTGGCTGAAAATAAAGCTCAGTAATGTAGAGAATTTATGATTTTTATTGACAACACAAAATAGCTTTGTGTACTAGAGACAGACTGAATGGAATCATATCCGTTTGCTTTCATGCAAACTCTCACTTAGTATGAGTTACATGCAAACACAACACATAACAGAAACACTATGTGTACATGAAGACATTTGACTTCTAATTACGACTTGGTCACATCTATGAATGAGAATAAAATCATTTAGTTCCTGAGTCTCTGAAAGGACACACCTATGTTAAATGATGAGAACTCCAAAGCCAAACTACCACCTTGAGAAATGCTATAGTCTTACCAGTTTGCACTCACCTTTTCCATTTTTGCAGAGACTAACTGCAGAAATAGCATCCAAACAATTATAATTTGTGACCTTTTAACCTAAATGGTAACTTCTTAGACTAGTTCTTTTATATTCCATCCCATGTTCTTCCAAATAAGAGCTGCCCAAAAATACTTTGCATGAAAAACTAAATGTTCCCAGTGACAACTCTGATCATGTCATTCTTTGCACATGAACATTAAAAGATGCAACAGAGAAAAACACTAGATATTCTTAAAACTTCAAGACTAAATCCTATAGTAAGTTTTCAAATTGTCTTTCCTAAAATTCAAATAATATGTTCATCACTTTAACCAAAAGCTAGCAAAGTACAACTTCTATTGTGCTGCAGGCCACAAACTGAATGTTCTTTATTTGAATCATGGATGGATGAAGATGAAAAGTAGTTTTTGAAAATTTACAACAGTTCTGAAACTGCTGTGTTCCTCGTTACAAGTTATCCCCACCTATTTATTAGACTTAATCCAGACCTTTTACTACCTTCAAAAAGATAGTTTTCATCAATTCTTCATATCTTTATACCTAACCACAGAAAATTGCATAGAATATGGGCAGAAGCCCCAGCTGATAAAAGGGAGCGGGGTGAGAGGAGGACTGCAGCGGCTGCTTCAGTCAGGCTGGAGAGGTTGTGGTTTAAAAGTAACATTTGGTAATGAATTCTGTCTTTAGCACAGCACTCAGGTGATGTTTGTTTTCTTATTATTTGCCTACCCAAAGTAACCATTCTGCTACATAAAAAAAGTAGCCAAGTAAGGGAAAGTTATTAGAAGCCCTCCCTCCTCTACTCCATCTTAGACTGATGCATCTCCACCAGCACTGCTTCCAGTACTTCACAGCAGAGAGTTGTATTTTAAAGAATTCCATAGGATTCACAAGCATTTCTCTACCCCAAACGAAGCCTTCCCCAAAATTAAACTGTTCTTATACCCGAGACTGGATATTGCCAACATGCTAAATGGTTTTAAGATCCAGTGTCTTGAACAAGTTAGAAACAGGGATTTTATACTAATTTCTGGGAATTGTTTGGTTTCTTACTAAACAGGTTGTGCATACTTGCCTGCGGCAGTCTTCATAAGTTCTGTAAATTTAGACACTGGTTTTACAGTTGGAAAAATAAAGTCTCAATTATGAAGAGATTTCAGTATTTTAAAATCTTTTGACATTCTGAAAAATATATTACCAGCTTTCAAGTCAGTCTTCACACACATAGCATTACAGAACAACATACCGTATGCTGAGATGCAAATACAGGTCTACAACGTGACCATAGGTACGTTATTTTGTTGCAGTGTAAACACCAGCCTTCAGCAAACGTCCATGACATCTGACTGTGCAACTACCTGGAAGAGCCATCACGACTGCAGACTCCGCTACTTCTACAAGCAATGAATGTTCTATACAGCACCTGAAGGGGCAAGGAGAGCCTACAACTGATTCCGGAGCTTCCCAGATGATCCCAGGGTGCTAAGGCAGAGGTGAAAACGTAGTCTGTCACCACATGCAACAAAGTCTTGCAGGAGGGGGAACAGACGAAGCCCTGACCTCTCCGCAAGCTGCCGTGGCTCAAACGTATAGGTGAGGCAACATCAGACATAAGTGACTGCTGCTGTTTTCAGAGACTTGACACTTTGAAGGCTAAAGCCCCTGTTGCTAGTAAAGCCCTTTGCAAAGATTTTCTTTCTTTCTTTCTTCAGATACTGTTTGCTGTGGGATAACAGAAGAAGCTTCCAGCTTAGATGATTCTTCAAAGGACTCTAAGAAACACCTAGAGATCTTGCAAGATCTTTCTGTATCAGAACTAGTGTGGCCAGCAGGAGCAGGGAAGTGATCGTGCCCCTGTACTCGGCACTGGTGAGGCCGCACCTCGAACACTGTGTTCAGTTTTGGGCCCCTCACTACAAGAAGGACGTTGAGATGTTGGAGCGTGTCCAGAGAAGGGCAACGAGGCTGGTGAGGGGTCTGGAGAACAAGTCTGATGAGGAGAGTATTTAAAAGACGGCTAGATGAGGCGCTTAGGGACATGGTTTAGTGGGCATGGGGGTGTTGGGTTGATGGTTGGACTCGATGATCTTGGAGGTCTCTTCCAACCTTAATGATTCTATGATTCTAAGATGATGGACGCTAGTACCAGGGTATGAAATGCCTACACTGCAAAGATGATCTTAAACAAGACGTCCAAGCCTGGACATGCAATTACATGCCCCAGAATGAGAAACACCGACTAGAAATCCAGAGCCACTTCGCTTGAAATCACACAGGAATTACTCGCAAGATGTCATCCTTACAAAAAAGCATCCAGTTAAATGACAAAGTGAGCATGGACTTTCCTGGCAACTCTCAGGACCCCCTAAATACTCCCTCGTGCATTACCACCACATACAGTTTAAAACACCATCAATAAAACGTTCGTATAACAGCATCCCACTAATTCTTCCAATTCATTTTTTGCATACATGCATATGTACAAAGACTTTACATGCATATATGAAAACTCAGTAAAATAAAGCTAAGATGACATGAGCTGCAACACAGGATTTTTTAAAACTACGAGGAAGAATCAAACCAATAATTCTGTAATTTGTTTTCCCACTATTTAAAATGGTTTCTGTACACCTTCTTCGTGAAATAAGCTGAGTAATAGTTAAGTCATCGCAACATTTTTCAAACACTTCTCACTATGCACTGCTGATAAAGAAGCTTTCATCCTATAACCACTAAAACTTTTCCTCTCAAAGCGAGACATAAGCAGAGGCTTAGTCACTATTCACATAACAGAATTACAGAAGTTTTTGGTAAACTGCTCAGAAAATTCAAAAAATGTATTATTTCTCAAAGCAAAATAATACATTGCATTTGGAAGACACTTGCTCTCAGTACTGAATAACACTTGTTATATACCTGAAGGGGTTTCTCAAGCGAGCCAAATCTCCCCAGCAACTCTGGGCTGTAACTACACTGATCAAATCAGCATCACACATGTTAAAAACCTGGAGAGCAAGAAATAAAGGTAGAGTCTTAATGTATCAACAGCTTCTTCTGATTTCATAGACTGCATTAAAAGAATAAACGTTGAAAATCCCGGCCATACATTAAGGCAGTTCTTACACCCAAACAATTTGATAATGTAACATTGTGTATCAAGCCAGTTTTTTCATAAATTATGATCTAAACAGAATACTAGTCAATTCACCAAAAGATATCAAAGATATCCCTTTATTACAAATGATCCAAGTATCCCCCTTCAGGCTACAGCTATCAGAAAGCATTTAGTTAGCTCCCAAGCCAATATTTTTCTTATCTGTTTTATTATGAAACTATAACACATTTTCAATAACTTTTAGCTTTGCTATACAGAGCAACAAATAATTTCCCAGAACCCTTTGGAAAATCTGACATGCGAAATGATTCTCTAGTCAACTTGTGTATTATTAAGCTGAAAAAACGTATATCAGATCATTTGAGGGAAGGGGAAAGTATTGGGAGCTTCAGGACAGATGGACGAACTTCAGGTCATATAAAATACTACCAAGGCTGTATTTGAAGAAAAATGTGAAAGTTCGTGAAAGCGCCCCAGGTGAAAATACTTTGTGTTGCTAAGAAACATCATCCCTGAAGATGGATGAATTAAATTGTCTGTTAGTAGAGTCAACTCCAGGCACCCCTCGTTTATTAGTAGAATGTTTTCTTGTACCAGTAATTTATTTCAACAGCTACATACAAATAAAAAGCCCTACCTTTAAATGAAACTGACAATTTTAAACTTGCATAATTAATGCTAGAAAACAGAACAGAGTTCACATCTTGAACAGAATTTAATAACTACATTTTCAAAGTTTACATTAAATGTAGTATTAATACATCCAAACAATTAAGAACTTATTTTAGGATAGTCTGCAATGAAATATACTGTTCAGCTTCCAAAATTGCTCTATATACAATCCAGTGAAGAATAAAGCTCCTCAAATATTTCTAACTACTGAACAACATAAATATTCAGGTAATCAAATTTTAACCATCACTGAGAGAAAAGCATATTCATTTGTCATGTATTGTTATGATGACACCAACATAAAAACTAAGCATGGAGGAAATAATGCAAGCCACCTGCTTTTCTCATTTGGAAGTTGTCTTCATGCTTCATCCAGCTCCTCTTTTAATATATTACTTACTTTTAATATATTTCTTCTGCAGAATGTATTCGTGAACTCATAGCAGTATATCTTTCCAGTTCTGAAGTATGCGTTTTCTGTTGAACTCCCACAGAGCATACCTGTTTTGCCTGCCGTGCACTGTGTTAAGTGAAGTCCTTTCAAAAAGGTTATAGATGGAGCAGAGGAGGGCCACTGGTTTGCCTCTTCCCACAGGCTGCACGACAGGCCAGAGGAACTCTCCTGAAAGGGGAAAGAAAAGCAAGCACATCTCACCTGGCACAGCCTTCGAGAGCAGGATGCAACAGCAGAGGCGAAGCACAGCAAGCAGGGAGCCCCAACGTAAGCAGGGAGTCCTGAGATCAGAAAGTAGACGTATGACCACTGCTCAGAGATGATGGAATAGGGTAGGGTTTTCTTAATAACTCAGAGAGGAATATGCAGAATTTCATGCCACAGAGAAATCAACACGGTCGCTGTACTGAGAATAAACCAAGGGCAAAGACTGATTTTGCAAGAACACAGTTGGCAAAGGCGAGAATCATTAAAGAAAACAAGTTTTAATTTGTCTGATGGCAAGGCTTTGGGGTTTTTCTTCCTATTATTCTAGACTCCGTTCTAATAAAGATTCCAAGTTAGAAGACCCAAGTTTTAGCACTGGAGAGTTCAATTTAAGGGAAAGGTGAAAAACCCTCTATAAACTGTTCTTTGGATCCCATCACAGCTTCCAAGCCAGAAAGTACCATGCACAGTTAGGTGTTGAGGCCACATACTCAGCTAGTCAATGCACAGAGGCAACCACAGAGGCTCTTCTTGCCAAATAATGCCACCAGGAGAAGAGTTACCACTGGAGAGTCTGAGAAGAAGTATTTAATAATGATACCAATTTGGCTGCACTACAGGAGATGTGCTTCCTGTGGGCCTAATAAGGAAGAGCTTTACAGTCTGAGCAGAAGCATTTCAAAACCTCAAAGGACATGTCTTATCTGCACCACTTCTGGTTCTGGAATCCCAGAAATCCTGAAGACAGAAGGCAGATCAGACTGCAGCTTTCCTAGGCACAGATGTTGCAATCACATCTGCCTTAACTGTAAGCCACGGTCCTTGCTACTTTCCAACTCTCTAGCAGCATCTCTGAGTTGCTTCGTTTTTGAAAACATCAGTGCAGAGGATAAGATAAAGTGTTTCTGATCACATCAGGTATACTAAAACAAGAAAAATGTCTGCAGATTATGTTCCAAGCAAACAGCATGAAAGAAAGGGTTTTGATGTAGAGATAGCCTTTCTTCCCCTCCTCCCTTGTCTACATGATTCACAAAATAACACTTACTTCAAATAATGAGATCTGTTTGATCAAGTATATATTTTTTTTTTGAAGTGTTGATCTAGCAGCCATGAAGAATGACCATTTGTGTATGGATGCATCTCAAGTTACTCAGACAGAGAAGCATGCACATGTATATTTATCCAATTAATTACAGGTGACTTTTGCACACCACTCTGAGGAACTGAACCACCAAATCTGCACCAGGTGTGCAGAATCATGTAAACCTTCTCCAAGGTTTTTCCCCTTTTATCTCACTAAAGATTCCCTCCTTAAACACCTATAGCTACAAGAAGTCTGACTTAATTTGTCCAGCTCCAAGTTCCCCAGTACAAGACATACCCAAGCAAGACCAGCAAAAGGCCCCAAATACAACGAAGGGGTCAGAGCACAACCCGGCCATTCTGCGACTCCAAAGGTCGGGTCTGCATCAAGGTACAGGTTGCAGGACTCCAACCATAATAAGCTTTTTTCCTCTTGGCCCTCACATCATAAAGCAGACAGCATTTTCAGTGCAGCATTATTTAATGTTTTCATTTATTATGTGGATGATGAACAACATACTTGCAAAATTTTGTAGTTACCTGGGAAGGGCTGTAAGCATTCTGGGAAGCAGAGTTAGAATTGAAAAAAGTAGGGCTAAGTGATTAACAGCAGAACTGAAACTGGGTGTTTAATACTGAATTGAATGCAAAAGTGAAAAATAAATTTGAATGTCTATTAACAGGGGCATCATATGCAAAAGATGCTAAGTTTTATTCTGTTCATCACTGATACTGACTAAGGTTGTACATCGTGTTCAGGTCTGGATAAACAGATGTAGGAAACCAAGAAAAGCTCAGAAGAAAACCTAAGCAATCAGGGAAAGTTAAAGGGAAACAGGCTTGCTGAGTACAGAAAAAAAAGAAGAGTAAAGGAAAAGGGTGCAGGCTTCAAAATAGGTTAACAGCAGTTACAGAAATGATGAACATGTCCCACTACTGCAATATCCACTGCAAAAAAAAACAAAAAACCCACACAACACACACAAAGCTTAAGGGTTTAGGAAGAAAAATTAGAATAGTATTAGAGGAAATATGCTACCTCTAGGGATAGTTCAACAACGGATTAGGTTATGGAGGGGTTACACAAATCTTCACTGATTGTTTTTAAGACCTGGTAAGATGAACATATCAGAAACTGTCTATACATATCTATCTGGCTTTACGATGAACACTACATCCTCACTCATACAGTGCAGGGCCTTGAGAGTAAAGCGGATGACCTCCAGAGATCTGCGTTTTCTTTTCTAAACCCAAAGGCTGTACGAGTTTAGGCTCCTGCCGGGCAAATCAGCAGGTGACTTGACTGCTCCTTAGAGCTCCAAGCAGGCTTTTGATATCTCTTTTTTCTAAATAGCCAAGGCAGTCTGGGATTGACAATTTTCTATCACATCAAGCACGCTACCTTAAATATGAAGTACTCTGAATGATCCACTGGGGAAATAAAGTCAAAGTACAGAGAAGGCAACGGCAACTGATCCCGGGCATCCAGTCCTGAGAAGGAAATCAAAACTGGCAAATTGGGCAAGGATGCACATCCCATTAGTACCTAGAAATACAGGTCGTTATTTTTGTTTCTAGTACCTACAATAAATAAGCCTTAATAAAAAGTAGTATTTAATAAAGTACTTAGAGAAATAAGGAGGGAAGGTTTGACGTTTCTAAGCTTATTTTCACAGCGGTATGAAAGGAAATGAGGTAGAGTCAGAGCTAATTCTCCTTATATAATTTCACATGGAATGATTAGTTCTGCCCCAACAGTAACAGCTTTCCAGAGGGTCCTACTTGTCGCCAAGATTGCATACAGATGCTCTAAGTGTAGCTTCCCTATTCTCCACTGACAACCAACTTAAAAGGCCAATATAATATTCATTTTACTATAGAATGAAATTCACAGCATGAATAGTAAAATAATGTCACAGCTACCATGAAACTGCACTTGCATGTTGGAGGTTGCGACTTTTAAAAGTTTAATCATGAAACAGATTCATGAAGAGGAACATGCAAAGTAGCTTTCTGCTTTAGCAACGTCCTGTGGTCGTTAAGGATGTCTAAGAATGGCATAAGCTGTGGTCTGACAACGAGAGGGCAAAGGCATAGAGGAGCATTCGTGTCACAAAACCCTGCTGATTTTTTTTTTTTTTTTTTTTTTTAAACAAGGCAGGTTTTCAATCATTACTGTGCTGAACGCCCCCCTCTCTTAAGCCTGATTAGGAAAGACATTCCACATGCATGGGGCTGCTGAAGGTGGTGGAATTCTGTAAGTCACCTGGGTCGCTTCTGGGTGAAATACCAATTACTGGCGATTCATCTCAAGGCGGCCAACAAAAACAACCCCATAAGAGACACCACTCAGCCCAATGGTGAACACATCACACGGATAATCCTAAAACTCTTTGCAAAAACTCGTAATAGGTATTAGTAATTTTATAAAGCACTGTTTTTGTATTTAATCCTTGAATAGACACTAGCAGAAAAGCCATATTCAATTCTAAAATTCCTACTGCAAGTTCCAGCTCAGCTACTACTATTCCTTTAAAAAATATACTGTTTTTTAAAGGATATATAAACACACATTTTTCCAGGGAGAGATAGCCTACCTTAGTAAATTTAACTATCAACGAAAAACCTAAATAACTCCCCAGAATAGCATGCCAAATAATACCATAAGAACTTTAAATGTGTATATTTTGCACTTATTAGTACAACCATTTGTTTTACAAAAGACCTACAGATTAAATACAAAGCACACTATTAGTTTTAGGCACAAGAACAACCAATTTTTTATGCCTTGCCAGGAAGAATGACTAATTAGGCCAGCACCACTGTACAGTCGTTTCCATAAATCCTGCCTTTACATTTAAATCACAACCAAAAAGAAAACTGACTTAACGATAACAAAAGCATATATTTCTTGTTAAAGTTTTCTTAAAGCAACATCAGGACAAGCAATTATTTTCTAAAGCCAACAAGAAGATGTTATTGTTTATTTGGAGAACTTTAATTTATCTCAAGCCACACACAAAGTTATACCCAGAAGTTTACTATATTAAACTGCAATCCAGTAGACAGACAAGGTGAATGGCAAAACTTTCAACCAGGAAATCACAACACACAGAATTTCGCTGCTGGATTATTTATTCTGCAAAGTCATCCTACAGCATATTCCCTGTGTAAACCTTGAAAACAACAGGAGTATGAAAGATGCAATATGTCCAACTATTTGTTGATTTTTTGTTTTCTGGAATATCTGTATGCAAAGTAAATATCAAAGCAGAAAGATATAGAGGAAATATGAAGCTGAGCATCAGACAAGGATCTGTACTTCAATTAAAAGATTTTAATTTTTCCATGATGGAAATTATGGTGCTTCTGAGAAAGCACCTGTTTAATTATATGCACCAGGCAAGATACTTATAAAAAAAACACCCCCTTATTTTCACAATGCAACACCAACTTTATTCCTATTTTATTTACAAAGGTGTCGCTCAGTAAATAAACCACTATGAAAACAGAATCAAGATCTACATTGTCAAATAATCCAAAATAATGTCATTAATGCACAACTCTCAGGCTTTTTTTCCCTCCAAACCAATCTGGCTGGAAAGAACAGGAAGAGGATATTTTTTTCTAAAAGCTAGTCCTAGAAATGGAGTTATCTTCACTGTTCCTTCTTCCAAATATTCTGCCACTACAGTCACATACCATCGTTGCTTTATCAAATTACTCTATTCTGACTTTTCAGCATTCACATATATTTACTCTTGCACATATGCACAAAGCTTTGCAATATTCTGGAAGTTCTTCCATATAATGGCTTTATAACAGTTC